TTGTAATTCTGGAAGGGTAATTTCGTAAGTTCATCAAAGAAGTTTTATTTTTATCTTGGTTGAAAATTTTATTCACTTAGAGAATGCTTTTGTGTTCGAAGCTAAACCCATAAAAAACTTTAGTTTGAGGATTGTGTGATCAAGTATTTGTTTAGGTTTGAGATTTAATCGTTGTTAAAATCTCATAGGTTCTTGGTTAGTCTAGTATAAAATTAAGACTGGGTTCAAGTTTAACATGTGATAAAAACTTATTTAGGTTCGAGATTATCCCGTGATAAACCCAAGATGAGGTTCGAGAGAAAATCCCGGTATTAAAAGTTCTACAAAATTTAAGATTAACCTGTGATAAAATCTTTGTTTAGAACCTTGAAAACTAACATCTCCAAGGTTCTTGTGGAAAGAAGATTAACCGTTTCGATCCATCGTTTGGAAGGAAAACTCATTGCTTCACTCCTTAGTTTATTGTTTGGTTGAATGTTAGTCATAAACTTCATTTTTTTATATAGGGAGGCTTCGTGGGTTTTACCTATTAAAAGCTCTCAAGTTTATTGGATACTCTCAAGATTAAATTTTAGAAACGTGGCCAAACCGTTTTTGACTAAACCTGTATAATTCGCAGTGTTCTTCTCATTCATCTTAGACTATTTATTTTTGTAGTTTATATTATGTAATTTTATTTTCCGCTGCGTATTTATAAATCTTTTTAAAAAAATGTTTTGGAACTCTGATATCAATCTAGAAAGTTTTTCTATTTCATTTTTTTATGAAACACACAAAACTCCCGTCCATCTTGTGTGTGAAGTCAAATGTCCGACAAGTGGCATCAAAATCTGACTCATGTTTAAGGACTAATCGTCTCAGGAGAAAGATGACTTCCAACACACTTTTAAGGGGATCTTTTCTAAACATAACACCACCTATTAATAATAGTAGTTTTGAGATATGACAAGTTAGGTTTAGAAGTTTTCTTCAAAGTATAAATCATGAATTATGGGAAATTATAATCAATGGTATGTTTTTTCTACTTACCAAGTAAATGGAGAAGTAGAAGATAAACTTGTTTCCCTCAGAACTATAGAGGAAAATAGAAATTTTGAAATAGTTTTCAAAACTTCGAGTATTATAACAATATCTCTAGATGATAGTAAATTTTTCTACGTTAATCATTATAAAATTATCTTGGTGAAAGGAATCTATAAGAGAAGGTTCTCAAACCGGGTTTCGACCGAATAGAGCGCGGAGCCAACGATTCTTTAAGTAAGTGGGCGTTAAGCGTAACGAGTCTAAGGGTGGGAGAGATAAAGCTTGAAAGGAATGGACGGGCGTAGGCTTAATAGTTAACGCAGACCCCCCTGCTTATATATATGAGATCAATGACTTAAAAGCTAAGACAACATCCTTCGATCTATAATACTGATGAGACCAGAGCTGAAAGTAAACTCGGGTATGAATTGAAGGCATATTAGCTTGAGAGGAACCAGCGGGTTTATCTGTCTAAGCCAGCTTAAGCCCCTGTCTCTGTCTCTTACACCAAAAGTAAGTGACTTATTTCAAAGTCCCGTAACAACAATCGCTTTTTAAAGGATGGATCTTAGGAACGAAATGAGGGATACTCTTGAAATTATCTATAGAGTTTTCTCAAACATCAAATAAGAGGAAATGAACACGTGAGGCGAAGAAGATGGAGATTTTATTTTTAATTGTCTTTCAAAGTTTAGAACCATTAAAAGCTATATTGGAACTTTTTTTACTAACAAATGTCTAGAATTAATAATTGGAAACCCAATCTAATACTTAAATTAAAATATGAGAGCCTTCATGAATTTTAGGAAAAATCAAAAAAGAAGGAAATCATAAAGAAATTGAACGGACTAGTTCAATTACTTAAAGATGAAGATAGAAAAACTGAAGAATCATCAACTTCATCATACTCCTAATAACCAACTCTGATGGAATCCTTCGAAAGAATTTATTTAGTAGTTGAACAATCTTCGAAAGATTTAACATCAAATGAAGGAACCTCGCATTTGAAAAACTATGAATAAGAAGAAGTGTCCTCAATATTCGAATAAAAAAAGAGGAGAGACATCAACTCAGGGAGAAACATAAAAAAATTCTCTACCAACGAAGAAGATGAAGTTTGCTTATAGGCAATTTACGAGTAGATATTCTTCAGGTAACTAAACCACCTTATGAATAACTTTTTAGAATGATTGGTCAATTAGTTGGAAAAAATTATAAACTCAGAGAACACGACTAAGGTAGTAAGGAGTCTTTAAGATATCTTTAAAAAAATAAAAAAAATCATTCAAGATTGAAATAACTAAGATCCAAACGATGTGTAGAGAATGATACACCATAATTTGATTGGTGTTTCTCTTAAAGTGAAGTGTTTATCAAGATCTCTTGGTAAAAGAGGTATACATTATTTTAAGATTAAAATAATCGGAAAAGTCTGATTAAACCCTAAAAATAATAGATTTGATTTTTTTGCTCATCTCAATAAATTATTTTTCTAACCCAAAAGATAAGTTTTCAAGTATTATGTAGAAAGGTGCAAATAAGGCTAAATGGGGTTGCATAAAAGAAATAAATTCAGCATAAGGCCTAAACTGCATCAAAGAGGTTGAACTACGTAAGACCAATCGTTTGACACATTATGAAAATCGATCGGAAGTGCTTGCAACGCATATATTCACATCAAATCTAATTCAAACTTGTGCCTTAAGCAAATCAAGTCCCATCATTGATGATGAACGCTCAAAATCCTGAAAAAATATGTTGAACTAAACGACTGGAACCACTAGCTAGTTAATTGGCACACTCAATTTGGAAAGATTTTGAATCACCAAAATCCTAATTGATTTCTTGCCGCAAATACTCGATCATATCTTCAGAAGGAATCGTATAAATAGGTATTTACTTTTCATTTCATTGCATTGCATATTTTCTTCAAAATCTTGTAAGTTTGAGATTATTCTCTCAAAATCATCATGGAGCCTAAAAGTTGAACTTTTCAACCAGTCCCTTCTCCGATTTCTCACCACCAAGCATCAAGAAGTAAGATTTTTTCAAGAATTTTCCGATCAATCCCTTGTGAGAATCCAAACCCTAGATCTAGAAGATTTCAAGGACACGTTGTTTAAAACCTTTGAAGAACTCAACCTGACCACCTTCCCCTGTATCCTCTCAAAAAGGATATAGTCAACATTAGTCAAGATGTTATTTTCAAATCTTCACCTCACAGATAGAATATTTCAAAGTGAAGTTAAAAGGTACATGATAACTTTATCTATAGAAGAATTTAGAGAGATTCTAAATCTCCCTCTTGAAGATACTATCGTCGAACCCAGAGACAAAGTAGACATATACAACTAAAAGCTCACTACAACCTCCATTATGAAGGACCCATCTCTCTCCATACCAAATCCCTTCACTGTTTGATATATCCACCCTAAGAGTCGTACGATTTACTGTGTGATCAATCACAGACTCTTCCTAAGAAAAAGCAACTCCAGCCTCATAACCCAAGTTGATGTAGAAGGAATATGGTTAGTAGAATAAAAAAATCAAGGTGAACTGGTTAAAATCAATAATCAAATACATGACATAAAACAAGAAAGAAGGAGTATGCCTGCCATATCGAAATCTAATCACAAATATTTTGGAAGATATTGGATATAATTTCGGAGATAAAGAATTCCAAGAAGAAATAACTAAAATAGGAAAATCAGACCTATCATCCATGAAATTCGAGATGGTCTATGAAAAATTAACTGAAAAGCCTTCATCAAATGAGAAGAAAAGATAAGCAAAGTACCCATAGAAGTAAATGACTCCGACTACTCCATTTTTCACCTCCTCAACTTATCATAACTTACTACATATTCTAAGTCTTTATTGGAAAGATAAATGTGATTAAAGACAAGTTCAATTTCATAACCCGACATTTAATTCCAGACCAAACACAATTACCTTGAGATGTGTTCTATGATGATTTTGATAATGAATGGTCTCACTTGGTTACCTAAGTGTTTTCAATTTCGTGCAATCTTCTACTTTCAATATTTTTGATTCAGTAATTTCCTTTTCTATACTTTGAATTCCTTTTAAATTAATAAAAAGAGCAATGTCTTTCCTTCCCATATGTATTAAATGCATAAGCTTGCATACTTAAATTTTTATAATGCGCTTCTTTATTCTCCTTTTTGATTTCGAAAAAGGAGGATGAGTATACTCTTAAGAAGGAGTTGTGTATACTCTATATTTTACTGAGGGGGAGTTTAAATACTCCAAACACATATGCGTTATTTCTTTTATCACCTCTCCTGAGAGATGTGTTGCCATCATCAAAAGAGGAGTGAACGTGGAAACTTTGTTTTGCAGGTTAACTTCTAGGTGATATGCCTTTAATAAGAACAATAATGGTTGATGATGATAACTAATATTTAAATATGACAACTAGTCCTTAATGATAAGTCAAGCATAAGGGATTAACCGCAGTAAGATGCAAACAAAATTATTAGGGTTTGATGGACTTGACTCTCTGATGATGGAAACCAAAAGGAATCTAACTCAAACCACATCTAAAGTAAATTCAAGCAAGTTTCCTCAAGAAAGAAAACATCATACAAGACTTGAAGTATGTGAAAGTTTGTCTAGACATGCCAGAGTGAACAGATTATAAAACATAAGGGCATTTTTGTAAAAGTACATGCTAAATCACTCACATAAACAAATTTGTTTTCAAACTTATTTTCCTCGAGTAAGCATTTCCAAAAATACCTTGAAGTCGTGTCAGGTGAATTAGGAGCTATTAGAAAAACTATGGGGGGATTTCGGTCTCTACTAATCGATTGACATTATTCTAATTAATTTGAACAATTAAAAAATGGGCCCTAAGAGATTATGACATCATCTTAATGATGATTAATGTCTAAATATATTTCCCTTCCATTTTTAACTTGTTAATCAATTAGTTTAGGCTAACCAATGGATTGGTGAATATTGTCAATCGATTCTTAAGTTATAAATGGCCTTAAAACTTTTTCTTTTTTTGTGTCAATCTCTAGTCTATAAATATATGTCACTTTCCACTCTTTTTCACATCCATAAACATGGTTTCATTTCTCACTTCTCACCCTCTCTCTCTAAAAATTCTTTATGTGTACTTTCTCTCACTAAAAGTTTAGCCGAAGTGCTTTTCGAGAAAGTCCTTTTACAAATAAGGAAATTGTAATTCTGAAATGTTAGTTTTGTAAGTTCTCCAAAGAAGTTTTATTTTTACCTTTATTGAACATTTTATTCACTTAGGGGTCGTTTGTTTGGGTTCAAAGCTAAATTTGTTAAAAACTTTAGTTTGAGGATTGTGTAAGTCTCCATTTAGGTTCGAGATCAGTCGGTTGTTAAAATCTTATAGGTTCTTGGTTATCCAGATATAAAACCAAGATTAAGTTCAAGATTAGCCTATGATAAAATCTTTTTTAGGTTCGAGATTAGTCCGTGATAAAATTTCACAGGTTCTTGGTTAACCCGTGATAAAACTAAGATTAAGTTCGTGAGAAAATTCTAGTATTAAAAGCTCTACAAGGTTCGATATTATCTTGTGGTAAAATATTTTTTTAGAAGCTTGAGGACTAATATCTACAAGGTTCTTGTGGAAAGAAGACAAACCGCTTTGATTCGACGCTTGGAAGAAAAAATCACTGCTTCACTCCTCAGTTTATTATTTGGTTGGAAGTTAGTCACAAACTGAATTTTCCTTGTATAAAGGGGTTCATGAGTTTTACCTACTAAGAACTCTCAAGTTTATTGGATACTCTCAAGATCAAATCTTGGGAACAAAACTAAATCGTTTTTGGATGAACCTATATAATTCTTGGTGTTCTTCTCTTAAATTATTTATTTCTGCATTTTATATTAGGGGTGTTCATGGTTCATGAACTGCATTGAACCAAATCACATTTATGGTTCACTTCAGTTTTCAATAACCACTTCAATAAAAAATCAATAACTACTAAAATAGTTCGATTCAATTTAAAATTAGTTTAGGACTAGTTTATATTTATAAACTAATTTATAATTAGTTCGTAATTTAAAAAAACCAATGTTTTTTCTTATAAAAAATTTAAAATTGTTTATATTAAAAAAAACATTTTGGGGAAAAATGTTTCTGAATAAAAAATAATTTTGGGAAATTTTTTTCTGAAATTTTTATTTAGATTTTTTTAAAAAAACTAATTTATATAATCAAATCAATTTATTAAAAAAAAAAAACTGGATTTAAACTGAATATGAATTGTTTTAATTAAATAGTTCAATTTTTTATGGTGCAATTTTGTTTAGTTCAAGTATACGATTCAGTTAACCATATTTTTGAACACCTCTACTTTATATCATTCAATTTTATTTTTCGTTGCGTATTTATAAATATTTTCTAAATAATATTTTCAAACTCTAATTTCAATCCGAAATTTTTTTCAAATCCAAGTTTTTGTGAAACACACAATTCATCTCTCTCCCCTCTTATGTGTGAAGTAACATGTCTTGCAAGATCCACGCCAGATCATTGGTGCCATCTATAGGAATAGTTGAAGCATCATTCTCTTATTGTCACCTCACACTAAGATGTCACAAACTAGTATAAACACTTCCATTATACCCTCATGGTCAACTTTCAGTGCTTACTCATCAAAAATTGATGGACTAATTTCCTCGAGTGATCTTGATAACTAGTCAGTCAAAAATAGGGGAGGTTCTCGAACCATTTGAGGGTCGCCTCCTTGAATGTGTTTCACAACAGTCTGCACTTCAAGAAATTAGAGACGTGTATGATTTCCATCTAAGTGGTTATGGAGGTGACATGCTCTTAAGGACCATTTTTTTCGTTCAAATTTCACTAGCATTTGATGGCTTAAAGTTTTCTGACACTTAAGCGGCCCAAATCTCGTCAGAGAAAAGTTAGGGGTCCAAGACCTCATCCTCGATCAGAGTGTCTTCATGATGTTGCTCCAGGAGGGCCAAGAGGTTCTCCTACAATGCTTGGTTAAAACATCACAACTCTTCCATAATATATTGCATTTTTGCCAGGGCCTCATTGTCGTGCCGTTAGATGTTGTAACTCTTCGCCGTGTCACTATGTTGAAGAGGATGGATGAAGCGATTGTAAACTGTAATATGATTATGATTTATGTTAGTTTTATCGAGATTTTATGATAGGCACCAATTGTACTTGTGCAACACAATGATGACCCTTCACGTATATGTCAAGATCATTCACAATCTCATAGAATCAGAACAAAGACAAGTTCTCCCCCTAGAAAGAAGAAAAACAAATTTCTCCTACCATCCCAACAAGTACGTAGGAGTAAGAGAATATGGATTCTTCCACCTAATTTGGAGGGAGGATTTTCTCTTTAACCGAGAGGATCAAAGAATAACATTCTCCTAAAAACCTCCTCTGCCACGTAATGGCAAAATGATTAGGTGATATGCATGGGTCCGGGCAACTCGAGGTCGTGCCCGCCTGATTCTCCTAATGACCTTTCACAACTTTGAGATGTTTAGGCTCTATGCTACTGTTCTTATGCCCAAAAAATTTATTCCAATTCACATCTCAACAAAATTGATATTGAGTAATAAGATTTTAAGGAAAATAGAAATATCCAAACAATTTAACATAAATCATTTATTTCTCTATTTCACTCCTTCCTTTGGTTCAAAATAAATTTAAGCTATTCATCCTCTAACCGTCATTGTTGAATATGTGCCAATCGGATGGCAGGGTCCAGAACCCCTCCCCTTATCAATGTCTTATCCATTGGAGAGGATCTAAATCCCAATTAGATTAACCTAATGAGTGAGATCAGGTTGGAGAGGGAAGGAGAGAAACTCTCATACAGGAGATCTGGATCAAATATTGCTAAGTGACTTTTACTATGCTCTAACCCAAATAGGAACAGCATTTGGAAACATACATTAGCTGTTCCTGAAAATATGCAAGAAACTCTGCTAGCTAAAAATTGAGATTTCTTTACGGTCAAACTTCAAACTGTGGCTTAAACAGACCAATGGGGAACTGCATATTTATGCTTTTATCAATTGGCAGCCCCAACAATGTTAATTTAAAACTAAAAACTTGAAAGAAAAACAAACATTTCTACCATTACTTGAAATATGGGGAATTGATGATTTAGAAATGTGTCCTTTTCAATAAAAGCATAAGCCACATTATATATAATAGAAATCAGAAATTAGCCTTGATTTGTAAGAAACAGAAGAAATCTTCAGGTAAACTGATAGGAGGATGGAAACAAAAACAGGTTAGACAAACTGGGAACTACAGTTTCATTCATCAGTCGGCACAATTTGTAAGGAGTTAGTCAGCTATAAAAAAAGGGAAGCAAAAACCAGTATTCAACCCCTAATCGGGGCATCGTTAAATCACATTGGTAGCCGATTATGCTACTAAAAAACAACTACCGGTGTATAAGCTCTCACTTAAATTAGGAAAACTACAACAGATGATCCGGTAAGCATATGAGAATGTACAATCATAGCCAGTAGAGTTCAAATGCTACTCAACAACCAACTACTTTTTCTCCAAAAATCATGTTCAGACCCACCATTGCACTGAGAAAGAGTAGCTGTAACCAGTGATCAGCGAGAATTGATGAAATGGCTAAATCTCAACCAAAACAATTGCTTATTTACATAACTTATGTCTCGACATCCACACTACATAGATCATAAAGCCCAAAAAGGCTTTTGAGCCCCAATTGTTTTGGTGGGGCGGGGAAGCATTTCCTCATTTGAATCATCTAGATCATCGTCGTCGTCGTCATCGTCACCATATTCCATTAGCTTGACCAAAGTATCTGAAATAAATAAATTTACATGCAAATCTAAAAGGATGCCCAATAAAGAAAGCATTGTGAAGCCAATCAAGGGTCACACTTAGAAGCAGAGTAATTGTCTCATACATATTACAAATGATAGAGAGATCAATGACATCAAAACAATATTAAAATTACTCAATTTAGTAAAAGTTCGATGCTAACCAGGAAATGCATCGGGTTTTGTCTTCAGTGAATTATTGCTCCTGTCTTGTACTTTAACTTCAGTTGAATCATAAAATTTAGGTGGAGGTGGCGGCGGGGGCATAGCTCTTTTTGGAGGATGTGGTGGAGGCATAGTTCTTGGTGGGGGCGGTTGAATTCCATTGGACAACGGCTGGATCAACTTCTTAGGAGCAGGCATGTTCGATATATTCCTCACTACCAAGTCATCATATTGTTCATTAGGTTTTCGAAGCTCCATTCCCTGCAATTGAGTTAGAGTGGAACAAAACAAAAATGCAAACAACTTCTCAATCAGATATTTTACCAAGTGAACCAATACACCAAGCTACAAGTCAATTGAGATTGAACAGTAAAAAATAATAACAAATGAAGAAAACAATGCAAGACAATTATGGCAGGATTAACTGACAAACTATCATTCTACAACTTGATTTAGCAGATGATTTAATATTGGATGTTCACGAGTGTCCTTTCAATGAATAACCTCATTTTTAGTTTTAATAAATAAAAAAGTTGGGGTAAATTATTATTAAGGTCACGTTAATGGTCATTTTAGAAATGTCCCCATATAAGTATTTGAACTCTTACCAATCCTTATCACATATTTTAAAATTTTATTCCTTTTTTGTTTTTTTAGGTCAAATTATTTTTCTTAACATGGTTTTTTTTTTTCTTTGGGAGTCCACATATGCAGGACTGGAGAGCAAAGCACAAGCTTGGAATAACATTGGACTAACAAAGGCATATACAGTAAAGCCACGAGCAAACTCTCCAAAACTAAAAACCCTGCCAAACATTCAAACCAACGGCCCAACGGACAGGTCCAGTGTCAGCATATTAGCTTCATAGAAGGTCAGAGAAAATACCTGGAATGTTAAGCATCAACAGTCAGCAGAAGATAATAGGTTTAGATCAGAAACGAGGTAGAGATGAAGATAATATGATAGAGAATATCATAAAGAGAATAAAAAATGATTAAATTACTCCCACCCATTTAGATGGTAGTTAGCAGCCTTGTGCATCAACTTTTTCTTTTCAAAGAATGAATTTTGCATTTGGTCTCATTAGAATTAACATTCTTCTGATTTACCTATCATGTTCACAATAGTATTTCTTGTTGGAGTAATATCAAGATTCTTAAAAGTTACTCCCACCCATTTAGAAAGACAAATTTTCCCCATGCATCCTAATGGTGCTCCCCATTTACGGCCTTGTCAGTTAATTTTTGCTTTGATGCTTTATAAAATATTTGAATCTCCACATCCAATTAATAGTATATCTTTTATTAAACAAGATTTCTCATATACCAAGCCTTTTATTCACTGCAACCTTACTAATTACTAGAAACTACAATAAATGAAGGGATTGAACGATATACCCTAATGACTCATGCAAGGATGTATTAAAAGATTTTATCAATGGCGATGCAATAACCTGATTGTGTTTTGTGTTCTTTGAAACAACTGGTAATTCTTGAAACTTTCTCCGCAGAGATGGCCGTTTATCCTCTTTTTCATGATCAGAGCTTGCGGTTGACTTTGATTCTCTGCTTGATCCGGAAGTTGTGGGAGCAACTGTTGAAGCAACAGGAGGCGAGTGCCTCAGGGCAAGGGCAACTTGTTGTAATGGGGTAGCTTGAGGATATATTCCACCATATCCAATATAGCTAGTTCCACCTGATACTAAAGGAGGAGTATAACCAATCGTGTTTGCTAGAGGAATTGGTGTCGAAACTGCAGTCAATGACATTGAAGTAGTGGTTACGCCTGTGCTTGCTGCCAAACTCTGAACTCCAGCCAACAACTGCTGTGGGGGTGCAACAGCACTATAACCTTGTTGTAGGGGCAAAATGGCAGTAAGGCCGCTATAAACCTGCTGGGGTGATGGAACAGCAGTATATACTGGCTGTGGAGGCGGAACAGCAGTATATACAGGCTGTGGAGGTGGAACAGCACTATAAGCTTTACATGATGAAATCCTATGACAGTTAAATCGAAAGTTATTATTTCCTAAAACTCAAAGAAATATCATGGACCCCAACATTAAAAATAACCAAGTGACATAGTTTAAATAATGGCAATGGAAAAAGATGATTGCCAATCAGATTTACCAGACTTCTACCAAATGCAGGATAATATAATATATTCCAGACGATACCAAAGTAATATTACAAATTCACTTCAAAATACCCATGGGATATTAATAGTTGCATCATTTAGCCCCCATTTCCAAAAGGGTACCAAAGTAATATTCAAAATTCACTTCAAAATACACGTGGTATTAAAAATTCCATAATGAAAAAGTATTGTTGTCATGTCGATATCAACATAGGAAATTATCAAAAAGTAAGTTGCTGTGTTCCATGGGCAGTCAAATAGTAAAAATTTGGATTTTCTAAAAGAAGGTTTTTTCTAAATGGTACTCCCTCCGGTCTCATTTATAAGAAAAAATTAACTTTTTATATACATTGAATAAGTAATGTATTTGGACAATATATTGTCCAAATACATTACTTATTTAATGTATCTAAAAAGTTAATTTTTTCTTATAAATGAGACCGGAGGGAGTAAGAGCTAATATTTGAGAAAAGCAAAGTATTTTCTAAATTTTCCACTTTGGGAAGAAAAAACCTAGCTCGCATCGTAGACTATGATTATATAAATTAAATACCTTGAAGCACCACATTCCATACTGATTGTATCCAAAAGATTTTCCGCCAAGGACTTAGCCTGTTCAAGGCTTTTTGCATTGTCACTAGACAAAAATAGGTGCATAGGCTGTTGTCCATCTGCAACCAGAATACCAATAAAATTGAAAACCGAATATCACAAAAACAATATAATTCCCTTCAAAAGTTTGAATCACGCAAATGAAGAAAGCACCTTCTCCATTTGACCCTTCATCACTTCCTGAACCACGTCCTCTCAGTATTACTGTTGCTCCTGTTTCATTGGTAATGTGATTTATATACTGGTCCTGCATGTTCAAATCCAAACGACCACCAACACCAAAAACATTTCTCCAAATTGTACGGAGATGTCAGAGGAAGCTTAAAACATTAGATTATTTCAACTTTAAATATACACAAGTTAAGCATCATGAACTTATTTTTAAAAAAATATCCAGCAATAAAGGCAACCAATCCAATGAATAATAAAAGCTAAGTCAGACTTATTATGTTAGATGAGGTAATTAATTAGCATAGCTCCAGATATTTTTCCGAGTAAATCTAGTTTTAGTTTTATTGATGGGCAAATAACCGAATGTGCAGTGTCTACTCTTAATAATTGTATATATTTAATCTCTAATTTATAGTTACTTGGCAAGTTTGCTTTATTCTTGTATGTGTGTGTGCGGTTGTGTCCCTCTCCCAATAAAATGTCTCTTAAGAATTGATCTAAATACATAATAGTTTGGTTCCATGTGAAAGCTCCTAAAGTCATCAAAAGAACACTTTGCCAGCTAGAACACTCATTGATCATACCACCCAGCCATCCTCTCTTTTTGCTTGCCTAGTCGATACTTTGGAAATCAATAACCTAAGCTATAACAATGTAATTTCGCCATCAAATATAACTTTAAAATAAATACACTAATACTCCTAGTGAGCGAAAAGATACAATAGTAAAAGTAAAATAAAAATAAAAAACGAATGATGAATATCTGATAACACCGCGAATCATGACATGACCATAAGATGAGACTCAAAAAGGCAACAGGTGAACAGATTACAGAAAACTTCAAATAGTCCTCTCTTGAAATAATTGTAGCAGACTGTCGACTTAGTTATGCACAAATATCAAGTCCAACATAACTAAGCAAATCAATTAGGTGGAGGACTCACATTTGGTCCACGTATACGGGCAACAATGTTCCATGATGGGTCAGCATCAAAGCCCAAAAACACACTTGAGCTCAGTACCTGATTCATCAATACATTTAAGTTTTCAACACATCACATTATACATATAAGCTAGTAAAGAATGAATGTCTCTACCTTCAGTCCATTAGCCAGAGGCGAAGGTGAGGCAGAAGAAATTGACTGTGAAGTTTGCCCCGGCCTTAGAATTTCTTCAATCATCGCAGCAGCCCGATCAACAACTAAAATCCGTTCTGCCGTATCTTTTATCTGCAATATAATATGATGTCCTCAGAAGCAGACAAAATTATGTAATTCATTCCCATGTAACACAACCATTAATCTATTACTGTGCCATGACTGCCATGACTGATGATACAAAAAAGCTACATGATTCTCTTTTCAAGGATAAGAAACCAATTTGTTTCAAACAAATTCAATTAAAAAAACACTCTCACTCTCACGTGACATTTCATCTAATTATTCATCTCAAAGCTTTCCAATCTGTATATGAGTTCTGACCACATTACTTTATGAAGTAATAAGAGTTTACTTCCATGCAAAAATAAAAGATTGGACAAAAATGTACAATTAAATCTGATTATTTAACCCAATCATTGTGCAATATAAAAAAACAAGTATCAGCTATTACATGAGCTCCTGCAGAGATGTGGAGATACAACGGCTTTTCACCATCGAGCGGCACATTGGGCAGTCGATACTTGCCCCTGCAAAAGCAGCCAGCATATACATTAGTTGCAGGGGTATAAAAAAGGACTTTAGAAATGCTTGAAACGACCTACAAACCTAGTTATAACTATAGTACCAGTGCACCTCTGGATCTGCGGGAAGAGAAAAATTGATCGTCAAGATAAAAATTAAGAAAGGCTTGGAGTTAAAAGGGTGGACAATTCATCTTTAAAAGTCACCTCCTCTTGTGTCTGGCGTTTTGTCAATTTGTAACGAATAGAAGATTCTGCATCATTTATGACGATTTCTCGAGCAATTACCAACTCATCTTGAATCTTTTGCTTCATGAAAGTTTAGCCCACAATCAAGATAAAAAATATTTAAATTTACAAAAGAAAACTATAACAAAATAATGCAAAAATTTCTGGGAGAGAAACAAAGGTTTCAGCCATCCATGTATGAAAAATATCATATGGAAATTAGAAGAAATTGAGTATTTAAAAAAACAGAGAACACAAATTTGTCAAAACAATCCTGGATAAATGAAATTAACATTCAAGACATTTTATAAATGAATAATGCACAATAGTTGAAGTTAATGATTTCAGACCATCCCAAAGCATATTCTGCAAAATTGCGAGTTGGGTCTGAGAAGTAAAGGTGGACCAAGCTGGTATTCAAATGTCACAAATCTCAAAAGAATGTGCTATAAAAGGTATTATTACAAAGAATAAGAAGTTGAATAATCAAACCATCGAAGTGTCGAACTGCAAAACTAAATTTAATAATATATATGTTTCAACTTTCAATATCAAGATTTCTTTACAATTTCCATTTCAAAAAACTATCATGATTTCATTGGGGTGTAAGTAAGCTCCCAAAAGAATTAAAGACTAGAGAGGATTACTAGCACTTGAACAAAAGACACAGCTCCCACAACAAGTACACAGTCCCCTTATCATTCACATATCACTCAAGCACCAAGTTCAAAATCCTAAGAAGAAATTTCATCAAACATCGGCACACTTGCTTTCACACAAACTAAAACAGGAAAACAACGATGCAGCAATATAATCAATAAAGGCCACCGGCAAACACACCAAACATTGCAAAGGATTAGACGTCTCACTTGATTCAATTTTTGGGCCGCCACCGTGCTTTGCTGCTGAAGCAGAGCTGCAGCTGTCAAAGGATTTGTCAAAAGAGCACCAGATATTGCTGAAGTCACACCCGGAAATACAACCCCACCAAGAGGCACAGAATTGCTCAAAGGAAGAACTCCAGGGACTGCCATCCCAGCGGGTAACAATGACTCTGCTGGTTGATCCCACTTTCTCTTCTTTCTACACATAAATCATAACACTCAGTAAAAATAAAAATAAACTAACAAAACATAGTATTAACTACAATAAAATCCACTTTCTTTAGCATTCTCAGCATATGTTTGGTTCTGCATTGAAAAAAATTGACCGAGTGAATTGATTATATAAAATTGATTCAGATTAAAAGTGAGTTGAATGTAAGTGTGTTTTTGGTTCTTCGGCGAAAAGAATTGATTTTGAATGCATTGATTTTATAAAATTGATTCTAGATAAAAGTGAATTGAAACTAAAGTGATCTATGTTCGGTTAAATTTATGTAGAAATGAGTTGAACAGTAAATTTCAATGTAAAAATCAGGTGGCAGAATCAATTCTACTTTATAAGAACCATACATCTCAACATCATTCCAAAATCAATTATACATCTCTAGAATTGCTTTTGGCTCTTCCAAAAGCTAAACCAAACATACACTAGAATGATTTATGTTTGGATAACTTTATGCAAAAGTGAATTAATCAGTAAATTTCAATATAAAATCACGTTTAAACTCAAACTATAAATTCTAACTTCAAATAGAATCGATCCTCCAGAATCAATTCTACTTTAGAAGATCCAGACACCTCAAAATCATTCCAATTGCATTTGCCTCTTCCTAAAATACACTCATTCTGTCAATGTAACCCTAAAATCTCTAGCACTAAAAGCCGGTTTCACCAAACGAATCTAATTCCAGCTTTTTTAACATTCGAAAAGTAAAAACATTCACAATAAGCTCTACAAGTGATCCTAATTTAACAAAAAGACAAATCCACAGTGAAATCAACAACGAAAATTGATCCAAAAAATCTCACATAATCAACAAAAAAACGCGAAAAAGAACTAATTTCAACCTCTGTCTTGTTTGCGAAGCTTCATTCGAAGAAGAAACCCTAACGTTACTATCCTCCGTCATTGTTCAACCGATTCTAGATTTGCTTCGGTAATCGAAATTGAAAGGGATGTTTGATTTCTTCACCTTTGGATTCTCTTTGATTCTATCGTTTTTCAATTAAGGGAGAAAAATCGATTCGCGCGAGCTTTGGCGTTGGGTTGAGAAATTGAAAAGTGTTTGATGGCTGAAACGGGGTTTTGTGATTTTGTATCGGCTTGTTATTGGGACTGTGGAAGAGGTGTCTTCGGGAGGAATTTACCAGACGTGTTAAACGACGATGTGTGATGATAAAACGACGATTTGCTTGACTAAATAAAATATGAGATTCAATTTTTGTTTTTTATGGATTTAAATACTTTTACATTGAAATTAAATCAAAAATTATTATTTTATTATCTAAATTTTTTTTTCTGCACACTGCGTTTTAGGAAGCCGAGCTCGTGAACTGAGGTATGAACACTGGTCAAATATTATTTCTATTAGAAATTAAACTCGGTATTTTTCGATGGTCGTGCTTTGTAGGAGTTCATTTATCACTGAAGCTCAATTGCTTGATTTATTACCTATAATTTAATCTCCACTTATTCAAAAATAATTCAAAATTCAATTTAATTTTAAATCTGTTTGATTTTTGTTCATGTTGTTTGATGATTAGAATTTCCGTTCTTTAAAAGTTAATAAGTAAATGATATGGTACTAGTTTAAGTTTGTGTCTTTGTAATTTGATGATTATGCATAACTATCAATTAAAATTAAATGGATTAGATTTTACTTTGTAGTGATATATTTATAAAAGGTCAATATAAAACTACATGAGATCAACCCATATCAGGCACCAGTCTAAGTGTATGTGGCTTAGGCATGATCTTCACTCTGATAGGAAACGTGGATGGTGATGTGCAAAGAGCCCACAACCATGCATAGAAGCGGTCACGATCACAATTTCCAGAGAAGTTTGTAGTCGATGAGCCCCATGATCAAGATGGACAATTGCTACTTCTTAGGAACCCTAAATTCAGACTCGTAACCTCTATAAATCTCTCAACCATAAGGTTGAAGAGACAATCTCATATTCACATATAACACCCCTAAAACATAGTTGTTCACCCTCGTGAGCTTACTTTAACCCCATAGAAATATCAAAGCCTCTGGCAACTCTTACCAACACATAGTTGCTACACACATGTGTAGCGATAAAAATCGGAGATCAAACTATTAGTTAACTTGACTCGCAAAAGTAAGAGACGTCACCACGTTTTATTATTTCTAAGGGAAAAGTGTGAAATAAAACTCATAAATATGCAAAGTAAGTGCAATACTAAAAGTAAATAAAAGTACAATGCATTTGAAAGAGATCGAAGGTTCGGGGGTTGGTTATACAAAAAGAAGGTACTAACATCCTATGTATCTATAGTATCCTATACAAATCTTTTGAAATATTTGTTTTTGGTTAAAATTGATTTGTTTGCTAAATGAGTGCGGGGATGGGAAAATAAGTATTTTTTAGTGTTTTTGAAAGGATTATAGCATGCTTAAGTGTTTTGAAATGTTTATTAAAGAAAATAGATTTTTGAAAGTGCGATGACCTAATGTCGAAGTTTCTATCAAGAGATGTGTGAGTTTTAAAATTAGGATTTAAAGAGATCTAATTTAAGATTAATAAAACTAAAAAAATGTATGAACGGGGGTTTCGCACAATCGTATTAAATATATTTTGATGACATGAAATCAACGATTTTAACCATTTCCCTTGGATTTAGATGCAAACAAAAATATAAAGACTAAATAATCAAAAAGAATTTAAATAACTAAATAATTAACAACCAAAATTAATTAAAATAAAGAAGGACAAAATTATACTAATATAATATACATTGGTATTTTTTAATGAGGGCGAGAAAGAAATAATTATAACCCTAATATAATATTTTTTGTATTTTTCTTGTATGAATTTTAAATGAAATAGACTAAAAAATAAAAGAGAAATACTTGAAACTAAAACTCAAGGATTGAACTCAAGTCCTTTAGGCTATCACTCTCTTGCCTTGCCACTAAACCATGCTCACTTTTCTGTTATATACACACTTTAATTAAAATAAAAAGAGTTTGAGTTAAAAGGGGATAAAAAGCAGAATAATGATAAAAGTGTCTCAATGGGTCTCGAACCCAAGACCTCAAGCATACTAGACTAACGCCCCAGCCACTTCACAAAGATGTTCATTCGTTATATACATTTAATCAAAAACTATAAAAAGTTAAAACTGACAAATGGGTTGGGCTAAAAATTCAAGCTCAAACCTGGATCCACTTTAGCGGGAATAGAGAGGGGTTTTTTGAAACCCTAATTGAAGATGAAGAGGCATCGTGGATCTTTTGGAAGGGGTCAAATTTTTTTTTTTATTTCCCAATAAATCTCACTTAAATATAAATCAAATATTAAAAATTAATCTCTCTCTTGGCTGATTCTTTCTCTTTGTTCATCGACTAATCGCACAAGAACATCCAAACATCAACAAAATCCTCTTCTTATCTTCGCCACAACCTAAACTTGTTTCTTCAACAATGTCATGATCATTCAATTCTTAATCGTTCTCTCTTCAGCTTCTCTAGTTATCGAAATCCCAATCAGTTCATTGCCATCATCTTATCATTTTCTTTATCGATTCATCACTATCATCGAATAACGAAGGCCACGGTCATAGCAAACTCCCTCTCGATTATTGCTTATGGCCGTGAACAGCAGCATTTGCGATTTCAGTTTCAGCGGTACAACAATAACTTGTATGGAAAACCCCTTCCACCGTGGTGATACGATAACAAATGTCAGTTTAGGTTTATTCCTTTGGTTCACTCTACTGCCCAGTACGATAACATCAACAAAGTTCTACTTAGGTCTAACTCACAGAACAAAATCAACAAGATACTGCGTGAAATCATCAACAAATTTTTGGTTTCGGCCGCTCCACTTCTGCTCGATTATCGCTCGCGATTTGAGTAACAACAACAGAGTTATATCGCAGCAACATATTGCAGCAGCATACACACATAACATTTAAACATATGATAAAGACAAGAATAACAGAAAAGGAAGAAACGACATCAAATAAGATAGAGGGCGAACATTAACGATAATAACTTGCAGGGAGTTTCAAACGCATGTGGTGTACCCCAAAATTTTCCCTCCCTTTTTTTCAAGATATTTCCCACAAAGATCTCCAATGATTCAAGTTTGCACAAGTATTGACCAAGTCAAGCCATCTCCTTAACACTGATGTCTCAAATTAGGGTTTGAGTTTGCATAATGACAGTTAGACTTATAATATTTCAAATTACTTTCATGGATCATTATGGACCCTTAAGATTACCTCTATCAAGTTTCAAGTCTTAGATCACCAAAATTGCCCAGTCAATTGATCAGATGACCTAAAAATAGTTGTATTGAAAAAAGTAAACATATAGTGAAACTTCAAGATTTTGGACCAATATCAATATTTTGAAGTCATATGTATCATTTGATCAAGATCAGATCATAATTCTCTGAGAAAATTATTCAAATCGTCAAAAGGGCAAAATGGTCAAAATTAGGGTTTTGATTGAGAATGACTAATCTTTGATTTTTGACCTAGTACATGACTTATTGGTTTGAAATATGATCTCAAGGATTCAAGTACATCCTTTTGACCTAATTGCATATTTCCCTTCATCCTCCGATTGATAGATGAAATTTGGTCAGTTGATGAAAAAGTCAACTATACACTGAAAAGTCAAACTTTGACTTTTTGGTCGAATTTGAGTTTCCAAGATCACATTTCATCAAGACATTAAAAATATGAAATTTGATCATAAAAAATCAAGAAAGTCAAAAATCAAACTTTGCAAGACTTGGAAAAAATTTCTAAGTATTTTCTATACATGTTAATTTCATTTCTTCATGACATCTTTTCACCATAATTCAAGACAATTCAAATTATTATAAGCTTTCAAGTAAATAACAAGGTTGCATTTCTAAAGTTAAAAAATTGCAAGTTACAAATTCTAAGCCTTGTCTTGTTTGAACTTTTCCCTTTGACTCAATCTTCAAACCTTACCACTATGTTGTCCACAAGACCAGACTTATATCATGCTACAAATGTTGTTGTCTAGAAAAGCCCCAAAATCATATATGCTACCAAGTCCAAGCTTGCTGCTACAAGTCCAAAACCATGTTAAAATACAATATGTTGTCCTGCACAAAACCAGCTATGCACCAAGCTACCACTCCACTCCAAAACTGCTACAAAATAGTCTTGTTATGCTACCTCTAACCCTGTCCAAGCCTACATTATATCATTCCCCATATTTGCACCAAATTAGCATATAATAACTGCATCTAAAAAGCTATGAAACAGCATACCCAAAAAGTTCAAAAACTCATTTGTTTCCCTCTCAAATTTCAGCCAACTTCATCTACAAATAAATTATTTTGACAACACACAAAGGGGGGATTTCTTGGAGAAAAAAGAAAGAAAGAGAGAAGTATTTGTAATCTTTGTTCATTCAAAAAAAATCTGCTCTATTTTCATTCACAAAACAGAAAAACCTTCAACCCATTGTCTCACCTTACAATCTTTTCCATAAACCAATTACCCAAGCACTTCACATCACATAGAGATTGTTCAGACACAATAATAGTTTCTATAGTATCATTATTATCACCTTACAAACATAAACAAAAGATAATATTGTACAACTTTATTGGGTTGGAGTGGTTCAGCAGCTTCCAATATAGAGGAAGGACTAGAGCAGCTTCCTAGGGGTTGACTAAAGCCATCACAGCATCTTGAAAGCAACTCAAACTAAAAACACAAATTTTAGTTTCAAGGTGAGTCTTCTTGACTTTGAGCTCTTCATTTCAAACATAATTAGTGACTCATTGTTGAAGATAAATGTAGTAATCATTGCCTTTTGAAGCTAACCATTTACTTACTTTTCATTTTTGTCAATCCTATATTGAGAACTGGCTTGTACACACAATAGAATAA